GAGGCTCCCGGGGGGCCGAGAGGGACCGGGGACAGCAGAAGGGAAGGAGGCGCACCGAGGAGCACTGGGGGCACCGGGAGGGAAGAAGGGCACCGGGGGGGATCGCGGGCACCGGGAGGGAGGAGGGCACCAAGGAGCACCGGAAAGGACCTGGAGATAGGGATGCACCTCGGGGTACTGCGAGACGGGGAGGGGGGTCAAAGGGACCAGGGGCCTCTGGCACCACTGAAGGGCACGAGGGTACTGATGGAGGACGAGGGGACATGGAGGCACCAAGGGGATCAGGGAGACACCGGGGGACAAGGTGCCCGGTGGAGGGGGAGATGAGGGGCATCAGGGGGCACTGGAGGCACTGAGGGAATTGAGGGGGGGGACTGGCCACAGGTTCTGCCTGCACCCCGGGCTGCCCGAGGACCTGGTCGGCACGCATCCCCCCGGGGCACACAGCCTGGTCGCCGTGTCCGTAGGTGAGGGGAGCGGGCTGGCCCCCTGCTCTGCACCCCGGGGGCTTCCCTAGGCACTGTCGGTGCCTGGTGCCAGCCCCCCGTGCCATGTGCCCGGTGGCGACGTCTCGGGTGCCCCAGACAATTGCCCTATTCTTGGCAAGGACAGTGGCTCCCTTCTGTCCCACGGCGCCCACGGCCAGGAGGTACTGGGCACCAGGCTGCCCACTGTCCGCCACGGTCCTCACGTCCTACCAAAGCCTCCCCCAAAGCGAGCAGTTCGGACATCCTGTGTACCCCTGCACTCACCCTGACCCACCAATGTGAAGGCCAGGAGATCCGCGTCCTTTGGCTGGGCAAAGCCTGTTCCCCCCTTGGCATCTACCTTGCAGAGCTGGTGCCAGCCCCATGGTTGGTGCTGACGAGTTTCCCAGTGTCACTACAGCTCAGCAGGGAGGTTTGAGTGTCTAAAATGCCTTCATGAGGTTTGCTATTGGCAGCAAATCCTACAGCTACCAAGGGCTCCATGCTCAGATGTGGCATGGGAGCCAACAGGTCCTCAACAGTGATCGATCCTGGGACAAGGACCTCCCAAGGGTGAGGGTCCAAGGGCTGGGTGCCCTCACATCTCGCCCTCCTCTGGGAACAGCGCCCAAGGGATCAGCCAGTTTCTCTCTCCAGCACTGCATCCTACAGAGCGATTGCAGGAGGGATGCAAAAGGCAGAGCAGTTTCCTCCTCCCAGAGTGTGTGGTCCCACGTGTGACTCCCCACCTGCACAGCGGAGCTGTAGCCATCGCTGTCCTGGTGGGCTCTGCACAGCCCTGCCAATTGCAGGGGCTGCTGCTCGCGGGCTGAGCCCCCAGCCCATCCTAGCCCCCCTTCCCTGCTCACAGCTTCTCTGTTCCCAGGTTATTTCCTTGAAGACTTTGTGGACATGTTGTGCAATCAGAAACTTCAGCAGTCCTGGGAGCTGCTTTTCCATCACTCCGTGGTGAGTCCAGTGGCTGCTCTCAGGGGTGCAGTGCTGAAGGGGAGGGGGTCTGAGGACTGCCCCTCTCATCACAGGGGTAGTCAGTGAGGTGGGGACAGACCCTTGGCACTTGCTCCGCCAGGCTGGAGCTGGCAGGACCTGAGAGGGGCTCCTGCTTCTGCTGGACCAAGTGTTTTCTACCCGTTGCAAAATCTCTAACGTTTCCGCCTTTGGAGTGGAGCTGTGCAGCCAGCTTGGCAGGCTACAGAGGCCTCTTGATCTGGTGGGACTGAACATATCCTTTGAGGCTCTACAGAAAGGCACTCAAAGGTGGGGTTGAACAGCGTCCTCTGACCACCCCCCCCGTCAGCTCCCGTCCATGCCCGACGTGTTTCTCTCCACTTGCCTTCGCTCTGCAGGAGCACTGGGGACGCCGCAGGATGGGGGCAAGCAGGGGAGCGTGCTGGGCTGGCAGTAGCCAGCAGCGTGTTAGCAGGGCAGGACAGCGGGCAGAGCTGGAGACGTGCCGGTGGGACCTACGTGGGGGAGCCTGGGGTGAGACAGGGCATGCGACGGCTGGATCCGCCGTCACTGCGGAGTCCAGCTCTGCCAGCTGCTGCTGGTGAGTCAAAAGGTCGTTTGCACAATAGATCTAATTCAGGCCAAGACAGTGACTTAGCTATGACTTAGCTAGCAGGGAGCGGATAATCTCATTAAAGTGCCCATATAGAGAGCAGTGTTGCTGGTATAAACTGAAGAAAGGTCCGAGTATGCGGCAGAGCAGTCACAGGGCTCTCCAGTGCACCAAAGCTGCTTAAACCCCTTGGTGTGTCTGTCCTGGGAAGAGACCCAGGACGAGCAGTGGTTGTAGCCCCGGGCTACGCATCTCTGAGCCAACCGTGGACCTAGCCCTGGGCTATACGTCTCCTCTCTTGCCGCATCATCCTGCTGTTTTTCTGCATTCCCTGTGGGAGGAAAAACCTGCTGGACCACAAGCAACAGCATTCCCCAGGCCAAAAGAGCAGGGTTAGGTCTGGCTGTTCCCATCTCCTTTTCCAGCCTGGACTTTGTAGAAATGTCTCCATCTCCTCCACCTGCCCCTTCTTCCCACCAGAAAAAAATACTCGGGCCTTGTGCGAAGGTGGGGAGACTTGATCTCATGCTGGAGGTGGCAGGACCAGCTGGCGGCTGAGATGCTGCAGAGATGTAAGTGGGGGGATGACCAGTAGTTGGGCACTGGCATGACAATGGTTTGCACCTCTGCTCCATGTTGCACCCAAACACGAAAGTCGCTGGCAGTGACTAAGAGCTGCTGTTCCTGCAACCATCTACACCCTCCTGAGGAGACAGCAGCTCCCCGGCTCAGCCTCCCTTCTTTTGTCTTTCTCAGGTGATCGTCTGCTTTGGTATTGCAGTGGTACTCCATCAGTACGTTGGGTTTGCCCTCATTGCCTTGCTGGTGGAGATTAACTCCATCTTCCTCCACCTGCGGCAGATTCTGCTCATGGCCAACCTGGTGCACACCACCTGCTACCGCCTCAACAGCATCGTCAACCTGGGCACCTATGTGGTGTTTCGCATTGCCACGCTGGCCTGGATGACACGGTGGCTCTTTCTCAACCGGGAGAACGTGCCCCTGGCAACGTACACTGTGGGCACGGTGGGCATGGCAATCATGACGCCCATGAACATCATCCTCTTCTACCGCCTGCTGCGTAGTGACTTCTTCAAGTCCAGCAAGGAGGTGCAGCAGGACAAGGAGAAATAGCCCCTTTCTCTGCAGGGTCCAGGGGATGAGCAGCCCTGAGGCCTATGGAAGAGGACAGCGAGGAAGAAGAGCAGTGGAGAATGAGCATGGATATTTCAGTATCTTGCTTGGAGGATCCACACTAACCAGAGCACCTGGGCTGCTCCAGTGGCTGCAGATCCCAGGCCCCGCGCTGTGGAAAAGGCACTTCCAGACCAGGCGCTTGGGGCCCTGCTTCCCCTGCACCTTTGATGACGTGGTTGGATGCCTGGGAGCTGCTCAAAGAAGCCTCGACAGGTCTCGCAGCTCCGTAAGGCCACTGCTGAGATGAAAAGGGAGCGAGGAGAAGACCATTGTCTCCCTGCTGCTCTTCCAGACAGCCGAAAGCTGCTGTGTGTCTCTGACCCCTTCGGTGCTACACCCTGCAGCATCCCACAGGCTGGGCACCAGCACTGCCCAAGGGCCAGCCCAGCATCACAGGGACCTTGCTGCCAGCCCTGTGCTCTCCATGGCACATCCCACCAGGCAGGAGAGGCGCCAAAGCTTCACCCTCGAGGCCAAGTCCAGCAAAAGCCAAATCCTGCACGCAAGTCCTCCCTGAGGAGATAGTCCCAGGTGGGTGATGGAGGGAGAGGCTGAGGCCAGCCTGCAGCAGGTGCAGCCTGGGCACCAGAGCCCTGGGCAGTGGGTGCTGTGTCCATGCGCTCGGGGATGGGCTGCTGACTCCTCTTGGCACCTGGACATATTTTCAGTGTTGCTTCATTCCCAGGTGCAACAAGTCCCCCTGCACAAGCATGGGAAGGAGCAAACTGCTGGCCAGGATGGGGCTACGTGGTGATCACTTCCCACGGAGGAGGGGTCGTCAGATGGGCCAGATTTGGGCATCTTTTAGGAATGAAGAGTCCTGCTGCAGAGCCTCCGTAACACTCCTGTGCGGCAGCAAGCGCTCATACTAACACAAGCTTTTAATAAACAGTTGCAAATGAAATAGCTTGAGGGGAAGGGGCTCAGAGCTGGGCAGGTCCTCACGTTGCCTTTTTCCTCCTGCTTCCCCTGCGCTGCGCTGTTTGCAGTGGCCCAACACCTTGCAGAAAAGCAAAGTCATCCCACTCAGAGTTACGTGTGCCCATTTGGAGAAATCCGCTGGGTCTGTCTGTCACACTCTCTTTGGGGCAGATCACCCTGAATGTGCGATTTCTCCATTGGTTTGAAACAGCAGGGAGACAGTCTGCAGCTACCGGCAATGCACTGCTGGGGGTGGGTGGCTTCTGCCTCGAGGAGGAAAATAAGGGCTCAGACACATTTCTGTCCAGAAGGAGAAAGACAAGCGACACGTGTGGGTAGTGGGATGCTGGAAACGACTCGTGGCCAAAGCTGCTTATGTTTCTATTTGTGGACAGTGCAAGGAAGCTTGCAGGTGCAGGGTTTGGGTTTGTCACCTCGGGGCCCACGGCGGTTATCAAGTGCCCGTGTGCCTCACGCACCTCCCAGGCAGGGCTGAGCCGGCAGCCAGCGCTCTCTTTTGGATTTGGCCCATTTCTGCGCAGTTTTTCAGGAGCTGCCCTTTTCGCAGCGCAGCTGCTCGGCCTCTGCACCCGTCCAGCAAGGCTTGCTCTGTCCTCCTGCTTCTGCCCACGCCGGGCACGTTTCGCCTCAGTTGTGTTCCCCCTTCCCTGCCGTCACATGGATATCGTGTACCCCAGGCACGCGAGGACAGCCCGGGTTATGTTATAAAAGGCACCCCCCCCCACCCCGGACTGGCACATGCTGCTTTTCTAGATACATCACCTACCGAGCAGGTGCGTACGGAGGATATCGCAGCAGGAGGTTGAGGCCAGGGAAGCCCTGTTTTGGGGGACTCTCTTAGCAGATGGGATTTTCCTGCAGTGCTCATGGTGGCTTTGCAGCTCACTGCAGCCAAGCGCTTGGGTACCTGATGCTTACCTGTCCCGAGGAAAAATGCTGTGGCCTTGATTTTGGGAAGGGAGCCCAACCCCCACCCCTCCAGGGCTGGGTTAACGGGGCACGGACAACCTCTCCCCTTTCCAGCCCCCCTGCCGTGCCCAAGCCCTGACGCCAGTGACCGCCTGTTGGGTGGCTGCGGTGCATTAAGCCCGCTTGTCTTTGCGGCGCGTTGTACCTCGCGCTTTCACAGTACACTGAACCAGCTCGGAGGGCTGTGTGACGGCGCGCCGTTCCCGGGGGGCCAAGGAAGGGGGCCCCGAGGACGGTGGCTAATTGCCGACGCACTGACGGCCCCGGCGTCAGGTGCTGGCGGGAAGGAGGTCCTGCGCTCCGGCCGTGGGGTCCGGGCTGGGTGGGAGGAGGTGTCCCTCCCTGGGGGGGGGCTCTGGGGCACCCCATGCTCCGGCCCTGTGCGGCGCTGTGGGGTGGAGTGGCCCTGGACCCGAGGAGGGGAGATGTGAGCACCATGGGGCCACGTGGGCTGGCCAGCATGCACTGCCATTGCCATTGCCCTTGTGGGGGGCCCCCACCCCACAGCACCCTATGGAAGTCCCCCCTTGGCCCACAAGGCCCCATGGGTGGCAGCAGCACCCCACAGAGGGTCCCCCTCAATGCCCATAAGGCCCTATGGGAGGCTCACCCCAGAGCACTCTATGGAAGGTCCCCAGGTCCTCCTCACCCTACAAGGCCCTATGGGGGGGCCTTGCTCCTCAGCACCCCATAGAGGGTCCCCCCTGCCCCACAGCACCCCATGGGGGTGTCCGCCTCAATCCCCACAAAGCCCAATGGGGGGGCTCACCCCACAGCACCCCACAGAGAGTGCCCGAGATCCCATGGGGGACCCCTCGCCCCCCCAAAGCTCCCACAGGGGGCCCCCATCACCCTACGAGGCCCCATAGGGGGCTCCCTCGCCCCCCAGCATCCACCAGCCCCCCATGGGGGGGGGTTCCTCTCCATCCCCCCAAGGCCCCATGGGGGGGCCTCACCCCGCAGCACCCCAGGGAGGGTCCCCTTCGCCCCACGGGGTCCCATGGGGCCCCTCGCCCCTAAAGCACCCCATGGGGGTCCCCCTTGCTCCCCCCCCAGGGGCCCCCGCAAGGCCGGTGGCGTAGGTGAAATAGGCCAGGCGTTGTCCAATCAGCGCCGCCCCCCCGC